TCTTTCCCTTTCTGTTATGCAGAACATTGTTTTGTTGGATAGAAAGCCAGCACAGCTCTGGCAAATTTAATATGAAGAGATCTGCTGTATGCTGACCTTCAGGTGATCTAAGGTGTTTTGCTCTGTCCTCTTCACCTCACCAGTGTGTTATTTGTTTAAAATGGCACAGCAGTTAGAAAAGGAAATTGAAAGCAAACCTCAGCAAGCTCTGTTTCACTTGTTATTGGATTTGCTACAAAATAAGTCACTTTGCTACACCATGGCTTGACAAATACTGTTTGTGAATAGCCTTAATGCAATGTATGATAACTAAGGATGAGAAGATTTGAACTTTAAAAATGTCATGCTTGGTCATTTTGACCTATTATTTACAAGCAATTACACTTTCTCTCTGCTGTGGCTTAGTAATATTAGATCAAGAATAATTTTGTCATTTTACAGGGGGAAAAAGAGATTTGCTCTGATGTATGAACATACTCATTAGTATATTCCGTGCATTTCCCAGAAGGAACATCCTTGTGCTACAGTGATAGGAAATGTCACAACGCTTCAGATTGATGGAAGAGGCATAAGGAATCTTTCGTCTCAACAAAGGATAATATTTCCCTTCTAGTAAGTGGAGTGTTCCCACCAGTATTGGTATGTCTTCTCATCAATGAAGATAAATTCTTCTTTGTGCCCATACTCTGTAGAAAATCTTGAAGTAGGAGGAGTCGCTTTTAATTTACATGTGCTGTAAGTTTGTAGAAAGAACTTCCCTCCCATAATGTGAAAAAAAATCAAAGAAAGAAGAAACTTAGCATAATGCAAACCCAGGTACTGCAGGAATGAAAAGGGCATAAACACTTCAAAACAATTTATATATTACATAGAAAGATTGTATGTTCTGTAAGAGATGACTTCTCAATCTTCAGGGTATATGGAAAAAAGACCATTTCATATGAATACAGGCTTTTTCATCTAAGTATTCCCATTGCTGCAAAATTAAATCTTTGGACTAATTGCAGATATATGTTTACCTTATATGGATAAGAAATGTACTTAATACAGTACTTCCAGAGTGCTGTATGTAGAAAGTCCTCTATGTATTTGAAAACTAAGTCCACATTTCCTTACAGTACAATCAATTTTCTGTGGGACTTAGGTCCTTCTCAAATCTCAAGGCAAAAATGGTGATTATTAAAGGCTCTAATAATAGGTAGGAGGCTGAAATCACAGAACAGAAATCAGCATTTTTAGGAGAAGCCTCTGAACTCTGTATTCGTTGATATGACTAAGACATTTCAGGTACAGTTTATGATTTATATACTTTCAATGGCACCCTTCAAAATATGGTCAAAATTGTAGGCTACCCTTCTATCAAAATTATACAGAAATCAAAAGGAAGGACTGCATAAAAAACATGATTGTTGTTCGTAAATTGTAGAGATTATGCTGTGCATTTCTTCTTCAGTCTGCTTTTTAAATTTCTTGGAAGTGAAACCAATAAAATATATATTGTGCTTGACATGTCTACTGGTGGTGGTTGCATTCTTGAACTTCAAGGTCATGAGATGCTGAGTTGTGCTTGGAGGCATTGCCGGGCTCATGGGGTGAGTATGTGGCTCAGGACTGAAAGGATGTCTCATCACTGCTGGGATTCACAGGTGGGGTGTTCCTCCACCTATTGTGCTGACGGCTTCCCACTGTCTAGTCAGCATGCCAGTCAGTTGCACACTCAGCTCAGGCCCTGCACAAAATGCACTAATAAATCACTGGTTTCCTTTAAAATATGTCCAGAGGCAGTCCTGCTGGAGCCGTCCCTGTTATCCAGAGGTTGGAGCTCTCACTGAGGGTGTTGGAGAAGAGAAGGTTCATTTCCCTCTCCTTTGCCTGGAGGGATCCAACACGGTCTTTCTCCACTGCCTAACCCATCAGTCAGTAGGCGAGACTGGGGACTTAACAGGACTGGGTGTGTGTGAGAATCACAGGGAAGGCTTGTCCCTCCCTTCTCATGAGGTTTACATGGAAATGATCTCTGATTCACTGGGCCGGAGAGAGAGGGACATGGGCACAGTGAGGCAGGATCCACGCGTGACTCCAAGCTACTCATTTTGGATTCATGGAGGGTGGGAGGCGAAGAAGAGCATGACTCTGTAACCCAACAAGTAGGTCGCTGCTATGGAGGTGACAGATGTGGGTACGTCCCTGTCTCTCTGATTATACAGCTGTTGTGAGGCAACTACTTGGACAAAAGCATAGACACAACCCCCAGAGAAAGGAGGAGAAGGCAGAGAGCTTCTCCTCTCCGCTGGGCATGTGAGACAGTGGGTTACAGAGGCTTGTCTCCTTCCTCCAGCCACCAGTGTTTAAGTACAAGGTGGAACTTCAGCAAGAATAGAGGAGAACGCCCCAAGAGTGTTTTGGAATAGGTCATTAGGGGAGACATGAGTTTGAGTCCGCAAAAGCAGAAATGGAAATGAACCCACGTTTCTCACTTCTTGCTAGGTGCACCAGCTGCAAGGCCAGAGTGAAAAGGAAAAAATGTGGGCCGGAAAGACAAGTGGCATCT